AAATCATTTTCTCAGGGTCCCAGAAGAAGGGAAAAAAGAGAATAGGGCAGTGTAAATATTTGAAAAGAGATTTTTTTTTCCAGAATGTATAGAAGACATCAATCTACAAATCCAAGAGTTTAAGTGACTCCAAAGGAAAGTTCATAAATAAAAATGCACACCTAGGCAAGTTATAATACAATCTGAGAACACCAAAGAAAATCTTAAAAAAGAGAGAAAAAGAGAAATATTGCCCCCAAAGGAGCGACATACTAATGGCTGATTTTCAACCACACAAACAGGAGGCAGGAAAAAGGAACTGGACCCAGCCATCAGTCACACAAACAAGTTTAGAAGCAATTCCTCAACTCGGGTCTTGAGACTTTGCAGTCCAACTCTATGGGCACAGCCTGTAAGAGACCCATGGTCAGAGGCTACACCTAAGCTGAATCCAGATTCTTGAACCTTGGAAGTGGTGAGATAGATAATAAATGATAATAAAGAGATATTCAATGTATATTTTTTAAACTGCTAGGTTTGTGGGTAACTTGTTATGCAGCAATGTGTAGCTAAAACAATTAGTGTTCATCTGTCTACCTGCCATGAAATAGAACCACTACTCACTATTTAAAAAATTAAAAACATACTTCACAAACCAGGGTAGGAAAAGGCTTAGATAATCCACAATCCAGCCAACTGTCAGTGGGGAAGGGAGAACTTACCATAATGTATTAGTTTGCTATGGCTGTGGTAACCAAGTATCACAGATTGGATAACTTAACAGAAATTTATTGTTGCACAGTTTTGAAGTCTAAGAGTGTTTCCTCCTGAGGGCTATGAGAGGTCTACCTCTTTCCTTGCCTCATAGATGGCTGCTGTCTCTCTCCATTTCTTCACTTCATCTGTCCTCTATATGTCTATTTCTTTGAAATTCCCCTTTTTATAAGGACACCAGTCATATTGGATTCAGACCCACCCAAATGACCCCACTTTGAATTGATTACCTCTATAAAAACCCAATCTCCTTATCTCCAAATAAGGTCACATTTTGATTTACTGGCGAGGGGGAAGGACTTTGACTCATAAATTTTGGGGGGACACAATTTAACCTATAACACACAGTTAGGGAAAAAAATGAAGTCACTAGATATCCAGGCATAGACTCCATGCTTAGAATCACAAGTTCCTTCCAGCCCCAAATAATTCTTGCATGTTGTTTTACTTGATTCAAAGTAAGGCTATAACTGTAACATTCATTTATCTTCTGAAGTTTGATATGGTCTAGAGGGGTTCTTTATTATGGTTTTGCTCTCTTGTTATCAGTCTTTAAAAAATAAAGAAAACCAAAATGCTGCAAATATGTCAACTTGGCATTAGATACCACCAGTTTAATGTGGCTCCAGTAAGTTCAATCACATCATTGTTTACGGATGAACTTTTTAGTGCATCCTCATAAATCACATCTAAGCTAATTAAAATCCCAAATGTAAGTGGTATCTCTGTTGTCCTGGAGCCTGGTTCTCCACTGAATCTCTCCATAATGAAATATGAAGATAATAAAATTATTCTAGGGGTCACAGTGTAGGATACATTTCCAAAACTCATAAACACTGGCTCACAATAGCTGACAATGCAGTAGAAATGAAACAAATGAAACAAGAGCAATGAAAGATGTTCCTACTGAGTGCAGCCCTCTGGACAAATTAAGACTTCATTTCCCTGAGCCAGGTGTAGTAGCTGACTGCAGAAATCTAGAAATACAGCCCATGTTCCAGAATTAGATTCATTTTCTTTATGCATAGGGAGCTACTGTTGCTCTAACACCTTTCAGGTGTGTGCCTATGTGTATTTCTCACTCCATTTGGTTCTGATATCCTTAATAAGATCAAAGCCCTTGAAACCAAAAAGACTTTGGGTTAAGCCTTCCCCCAAGGCCATCTGGTAAACCATGCAGAAGCTGAATAGCGTCGTGGATGTCTTTGCTGCTGAAGGCAGGGGTTGCATCAAGGTTTCCCATTCCTGCTGGCTGCACTTGGTGGAATGAAGCAAAACGTTGCAATAACCCCAGCAGAAAACACCACAGAAAGGATGAAGGAATAGATGAAAACAGTTTGTGAAACAACAGAGCCTTCTAAGTTCAGTGAATAATAATTTTAAAAATTTGCAACAATGTCTGAAGACTATTAAAGATCCACACTGTGGAAGGAAAAAAAAAAAAATAAAAGCAGAATAGCATGATTTCAGTCAAGGCAACATATTCAAGCAATGAGTGTTTGAAGTGAGATGTATGTCATAATAATGAAAGCTATATTTAAATCTAAGTTTCTTAGCTAACACCTGCCAAACTCCAGGGGAAAGCCAGTAAAATACACTACTAGAGAGAGAGAGAGAGAGAGAGAGAGAGAGAAAGAGAGTGAAAGAAAGAGAGAGCGTGCGTACCAATGCAGAAACAAAGGCAGGGGCACATTGGCTAGCAAAGAAAATTGCTCTTCAAAGGAATTTCCTGATGTTTTATTCTATTCAACTATGGAGTGTGCTTTCTTTGCTTTCATTTGAAGCTACAGAGCCTTCTTATTTGATAGGAAGAGAGAGCTGGTTTCACTAAGCATCCAGAATCAGTTCCTAAAAAAGAAATTACCAACACATTTATAAACTCTACTCCACCAATGGAAATGTTCACCAGGGCTTCAAGAAAAAGAGGGGGGTTGACAGGGCATGATGGCTCATGCCCGTAATCCAAGCACTTTGGGAGGTCGAGGTGGGCAGATCACGAGGTCAGGTGTTCAAGACGAGCCTGGACAACATAGTGAAACCCCATCTCTACTAAAAATACAAAAATTAGCCAGGCGTGGTGGCAGGCACCTGTAATCCCAGCTACTCGGGAGGCTGAGGCAGGAGAATCACTTGAACCTGGGTTACAGTGAGGTGAGACCAAGCCATTGCACTCCAGCCTGGGTGACAGAGCGAGACTCCATCTCAAAAAAAAAAAAAAAAAAAAAAAGAAAGAAAGAAAAAGAGAGGTGTCCTCTCTACAGAGTCATCAACAAGACTCAAGATGGCAGTACACCAATGGAAAAAAGATCTATACAGCTGAACTTCTTTAAACAAGATGGACATAGTTATAGCAGGTTAAAAATAAACCATTTTAAAATAAGATTATTCTAAGTCTCCCTGATGTCCTTAAAACCTGTCTGTATTGCTGCCTTAATATTGCCCACAAATTTCAAAAGCCTCTCCATGTGGGGAATAGATAAGATTCATTTAAATTCTCATACATGTCTGAAATATAAACAAGAAAAACAGAAATAACTTAACCTACATATTTAGCAGATGTTAATTATAACAAAATTAGGCCAGAGGTGGTGGCTCACACCTGTAATTCTAGCAGTTTGGGAGGCCAAGGCAGAGCAGATCACTTGCGCCCAGGAGTTAGAGACCAGCCTGGGCAACATGGAGAAACCTCATCTCTACAAAAAAGACAGAAATTATCTGGACATGGTGGCACGCACCTATAGTCGCAGCTATTCAGGAGGCTGAGGTGGGAGAATTACTGGAGTTCAGGAGGTCAAGGCTACAGTGAGCCAAGATCATGCCACTGCACTCCAGCCTGGGCAACAGAGTGAGACTCTGTCTCAAAACAAAAAAAGGAAGAAAGAAAATTAAATACATCCAGCTCAAACTGAGAAGTAGCAGTTCTTAAACTTCAGTGTGATCCAAAAGCAATTGAAAGGAACTAATCAATGGCCTGAGAGATATGTTGGTAGATTCCTCAATCCTTTTGTGTGGACGACTGAGCAAGCTCCCCACCAGGACATCCATTGAATAAATGTGTGTGGGCAGCCTCCTTTATGTCAAGCCATGTCCCAACCATTGGGGCCACAGTCAGAAAAAAAAAAATAGCCAAAATTCTCTGCCATCCCAGTAACCACATCCCAACAGCTGAAGACAGATAATAGACAAAATAAGTAGATTGATTTAAAAATTTAGATGTTGGTATATTCATTTCCTATGGCTGCTGTGACAAATTACCACAGACTTCACAGTTTGAAACAACACAAGAGTAATATTGTACAATTTTCAATGTCAGAAGCCCAAAATCAATCTCATTTCCCTAAAATCAGGGTGTTGACAGGGCTGTGTTCCTTCTAGAATCCATTTTTTGCATTTTCCATTTTCTAGATGCTGCCTGCATTCTTGGCTTGCAGTCTTTTTCCTTTCTCTAAGCCAACAATCACATCACTTGGATCCTGCTTCCATCCTCACATCTTCTTTTCTGACTCCAACCCTCCCATATCCCTTTGTAAAGTATTCTTGTTATTACACTGGGCCCACCTAAATAATCCAAGCTAATCTCCGCATCTCAAGATCTTTAACTTAATCACATCAGCAAAGCTTCCTTTGCCATGCAAAGCAACATATTTGCAGGCTCCAGGGATTAGGATATGCACATCTCTGAGGACCCTTAATCTGTCTACCAAAGGTGCTAAATGCTCTAGATCAAAGCAAATCAAGCAATCTGACATAGATACTAAAAAATGTCAATTGCCCCTTTTCCTTGACTTTCTTGAAGCTGGGACATAGAAGTAATCCAATTCCATCTACTGAAGTCATGGATTATGTTGGTGCAAGCAAGATGAGTTCTTAAAAAAAAACAATTCTTCCCTGATAAAACAGAGACAATCAAGAGGAAATCTTCCCTGCTTCCATCTGGTCTTTGATGCTGACATTTGAAAATGTTTTACAGTCATGCACAGCATAACATTTCAGTCAACAGTGGATCAAATATATGATCGTGGTCCCTATAATGGAGCTGAAAAATTTCTATCATCTAGTGACTCACAGGCATTTTAACTGCATAGTTGAATGCATTACCTTTTCTGTGTTTGTCTATGTTTAGATACACAAATACTAGCACTGTGTTACAATTGCCTACAGTGTTCAGTACAATAACATGCTATACACATTTGTAACCTAGGAGCAATAGGCTATACCATAAAGCCTCAGTTTGCTATAGGCTATACCATCTAGAATCCTAAGTACATGCTATGATGTTTGCACAACAAATAAATCACCTAAAGAATTTATCAGAATGTATTCCCATCTTCAGGTGACACCTGACTATATATGGGATGTCAGCAGCCATCTTGTCACCATGAGGGAAAAGTCTAGAGTATTGGAGACATCAATCGTAATATTGTTTTGTCACTAAATTAACAATCCACAGAGCCCCCAGGTCTGGAATTATCATGTAAGATTAAGCACAAACCATTATTAAGTAATTTAGCCAAGTACAATCGAGTGGGTTCCACATCTTTGGATTCAACCAACTGAGGACAAAAATACAACATTTGGTGGATGCAGAACCCACAGATAAGGAGGGTTAGATTTTCATATCCGTATGTTTCTCAGGAGAACTTCAAGACTTCAACATCTTAGAATTTTAGTATCCTGGGGGGTCTTGGAACTAATTCCCCATGGACACTGAGGGATGACTGTATTCTAGCACTGGAAGGTAGTGTGCTTCTGCTTTTTGCTTGTAATGGTACGTCAGTTAGAGTCAACCTTTATATATTAACCATTAGGTTTTCTTTTGAAAAATGTTTTCTTAAAAGCATGGACAGCTGTAGTGGTTGCTGTACAGAGAAAAGCATGAAAGGACAATGACTACAAAACACTCATCATAATTCCAAGTCTACTTACTCTCTTCTGCCACCCAAGATGGGCCAAGGCAAGTCCAGTCATAGGATGACTGTGGTCTTTCTGTGGTAGCTGCAATACACGAAACTTATGCCATGTTGTGATCCTCCCTTCCCTTTGCATTCTGGGCTGCCTAATACTTTTGCTGCCTGACCTTCTTTGTGTTTGATCACAGCCTTGCCATATATGTTCATGGCTGCTGATTCCTGTATCATGGACACAAAGAGGTGAACAACAGACCCCAGGGTCTTCTAGAGGGTAGAAAGTGGAAGAAGGGAGAGGATCAGAAAAAAAAACCTATTGGGTACTATGCTTATTACTTGGGTGAAGAAACAATCTGTATACCAAACTGCCATGACAAGCAGTTTACTTATATAACAAACCTATACATGTGCCCCTGAATCTGAAATTAAAGTTATAATAAAAAGTGACAACTTCACTACCTGTCATGGTCTTACTACTACATTTCTGAACTGTGATTTTTAGAGAAAGAGTTGGTCTGCTGAGCAGGCTTTGTAATCCAACTTTCCATATTCAAATCATTGCTTTCTCTGGGTTGCTTTCCAGATTCAAATCATTGCAACCCCTGGCCCACAGAGTCCAGCTGTTAACCTTCCTAGGCATATCCTGGGATATATACGACTTAAAGTCAAATGGGATATTTGATAATTCGGTGAAAACTACAAACCTGCATTCTAGCATCTCCATGTGCCGTATCTTTTCTTTTTCAAGAAAACGAATTACACATTTGGTTAAGAATCTATCTGTAACATCTCCAGACACCCATAATCTAGGGAGGCACGCCATTTAGTCTACCTGCTCTGAAGAAGACCCTAATTGCCTGAAATCACACAGCATCATAATCTGACTTTGTTTTCTTTATGGATTACTGGTATTCTTGACTGCATTTTTGTGTTTCTTTGCTGCCTTTACACTAGAATTATGAGACTACCTAAAGCTCTGACAGCTAATGAAAAGCTATTGGCCATGTGTACAGTTGGGATGAGATCTTCATGTTCTCAATGTAATGGTCAAATCATAAGGTTACAAAGCCACTGCCTGTCTTAAATGCCACTATATGTCTTTTTTAATGAACTATTCATCAGCACATTCAAGGGAAAACTCTCCATTTGCTGGATAACAATCACAAGGATATTTGTTGAAATCTGTAACCTGCTGAGCTTCAAGGACAGGGATGCTATTCAGGATCATCTAGAAAGAGTCTGTGGGTATCTCACGAATACACCTAAACCAATCTATACCCCATGAACAGGCTGCTGCTGGCTTTCCGAACTCCAGGTACGAGATTTATGAATGACATAGTCAGATGGTAGTTGCTCAGTTCAGACGTTTGCCTATAAGAAAATGTGGAGGAATTCTTTTAATTCCAAGTTTTACAAAAATATCAAAATGATTAGTTGTGTATATGTAGTGGAAATATAGAAGGCAAAATAGGTAGATAATTTTCCAGAAGATACACCTGACTACTATAGACAACTAACCATGATAAACAATGCAATTTTGTCATTAGTTCCCAGTGACTTCTAAGAAACTGATGAACAAAGGAAGTAATAATTCAGCTTGGAATGCAAGAAAAGTATAGTTTCTCAATGAAGTACTCGCATTCATTGTATGCTCCAAGTTTCCCAGTTCCTCCCCTTCACTTCTTCATATGCCTTCACTGTTCTGCTGTCCTAATACTCTGTCTGCCCTGGATGCTGCCTTCCTTGATGAAAGTCTTCCTGACTTTTTGCAGGAATGGGGATTAATGTTCATGTACTTTGTCTGGACTCAGAGCACTGTAACCTGTGTTTTTTTTTTTCTTTTTCTTTTAAGACGGGGTTTCACCATGTTGGTCAGGCTAGTCTTGAACTCCCGACCTCAGGTGATCCGCCCGCCTTGGCCTCCAAAGTGCTTGGATTACAGGGGTGAGCCACCACACCCAGCCAGTATCCTGTGTTTTAAGTGTGTACTGTTGTCTTACAGGAATGCAAGATATTTTCAAGCTCCTTTTCCTAGACAGGCCCTTGCTCACTGAGAACTGAAGACGGATATTCCTTGCAGACACACACACTCAGCAGGCATAAGCACATCTTATGTACATATGAAGCTATGTGACATCTGGGGTAATGCCGTTAAATAATCCCAACTGATATAGCAGCTCATCTCCACTATCAGGTGGTAATCGTGGTTTCTAAACTCTAGGGAGGAGAGGCTATTAGACCAAGGTGTATCTCAGGGAACACAGCTGAGGGGTTAGTAGAATAGAATATATAATGTAGCCTTAGGTCTCATGAGGTGACAACATAGAATTAAATCCTAAAGGAGCTGTCTGTCCATAAAGATCAACTAGAAAATCTTTCTGCTAGAGGGAAATGTCCTATTACCATCTTCCTGGACACCTCTGAGTTTGGGGAAAATTACTACTGCAAGAAATTCGGTCAAAATTTGGACAAAATGAACAGTATAAAAATCAAAAGACAAGGAAATAAATTCATGAGCACAACAGAAGCAAATACAAAAATCATTCTATAACATCCCTCCAGAACCCTACAGGGAACACTAAAGAGAAAAAAATACCACCACTGAAAGTGAGCTCATACTAAAACATTTAAAGGTACATAAGGAGAGGGAACACTATAAGAAGTACAGCTGGTGTCCAAAAATCCCCAGATGATCAAGTAAGAGGACCTTTAAGTCTTTTTATTATATTTAACACAGATTAAAAAGAAAAAGGAATACAAACTGTAACAAAAGAATAAGACACTATATGACAAGAACAAGATTATTTGAAAATAAGTCAAATAACTTTCTAGAAATGAGAAAATATAGAAATACAGTCTTTGACAATGTAGTAATGGAGAGAAGACAGCACTGGCTTGCCAGACAACCTTTCTGAAATGGGTAAAAACAATACTGTCTTTGGAACTGAAGACTTTTTTTTTTTTTTTTTTTAAGACAGGTTCTCACCCTGTCATCCAGGCTGGAGTGCAGTGGCACAATCTCAGCTCACTGCAACCTCCACCTCCCGGATTCAAGCGATTCTCCTGCCTAAGCCTCTTGAGTAGTTGGAATTACAGGCATGTGCCAACACGCCAGGCTAATCTGTACATTTTTAATAGAGATGAGGTTTCAACCTGTTGGCCAGGCTGTTCTTGAACTCCTGACCTCAGGTGATCTACTTGTCTTGGCCTCCCAAAGTGCTGGAATTACAGGCGTGAGCCACTGCACCCAGCCAGAACTGGAGACTTTCTTTATTACAATGTATTACGTAGCTAAAGTAACAGCTGACTTTCTTCTCTGCTATGCACTAGCTTCAGCATGAGACAACCTGAATAGCCAGGAAACCAGAAAGCAGAGTTTACTTTTCTTCCAACAGTTGCTAAAGCACAATTTCTTTCCTTACAGGGCCATGCTCCTTCCATGGCCTCATTTATATTTTATGATACGGGGAACTGCACTCAAGGTTATGGAAGCATTTGGTTCCCCTCCCTGGCACCTTTTTCAGAATCAGAGAATAAGGAAATCTAACTGTCAGAACCTCTGCAGGTTTTAGGAACCCAGATATGTTCATCTGTGCAGAGAACAGCCCTGACTCTCTTCATCTGTTCAGTGAAGTGTATTGGTAACAGTTCCTATTTATTGTAATTAGAATTTATATTTATTTTACAATTCAACATTGATTTTGTGGTATAATTTTCATTTGTATATGCCTTATGTACAATAAAGGATATTTGTAAATTAAGGGATGAGATAGCTTAAATCTCATCAAAACAAGATTAAAGCTAAATAGCTGCAGGTATAGTAATAGAATTGAAAAATACTTCTTGGACACTGCAGTATATTCTCTGAGAATTAGAACTTCATTAGCAATAAATATTTTCATAAGCCACGAACAATTGAGTAGCTTTTTTTTTTTTTTTTTTTTTGAGTCTCACTTTGTCGCCCAGGTTGGAATGCAGTGGTGCAATCTCAACTCACTGCAACCTCTGCCTCCCAGGTTCAAGCAATTCTCCTGCCTCAGCCTCCCAAGTAGCTGGAATTACAGGCATGTGCCACCACACCAGGGTAATTGTTTTGTATTTTTAGCAGAGACAGGGTTTCGTCATGTTGGCCAGGATATTCTCAAACTCCTGACCTCAAGTGATCCACCTGCCTCAGCCTCCAAAAGTGCTGAGATTACAGGCGTGAGCCACCGTGCCCAGTATTAAATAGTATTTTATCTCAACAAGCGTAAGTATTAACCAGATATTCTAAACCTTCTGTGCTTTAAAAACAGTACTTCCAAATGTTTAGTTCCAGTTGTCTCCTATTCTGCTAAAACATAACTTTCTGAAAATACACCCTAGACACAGGGTGTGTAGAAATGGTCTCTTTCACTTACTGTACCGTCACCCTGTTTAATCTCAAGTTAGCGCAGGGAGTTAGAGACAGTACAGCTTATAGTACAGGAGATAATATTCTTGCTGCTATATTTACAAGCATGAATGCAAATTTTGCTAGAAGGAAACTCCTGGTGGGATTAATCATCCAAATTCCCATTAGAAAGGCTTTCTGGTGAAAGTAGGACAAGAATAGTAGTGACCGTCCCCTGAGGACTCAGGTGCCATTTCTAATGATGCGTTCTTCCATGCAAGAAGATACTTCTGACAAAACTGGCAGAGTTGGCTGTGCTTATTTCCCTGTTTAAAAATAATGGGAAAATAAGTGGTTGTGCTGTAACTGCAGAAATTAACCAATCTGTAAAATCAAGTAAAACACAGAAATGTAATATGGGGTGGGGTTAATAAACACAAGATCAGAATAAGATTACACCATTTTTCTTCAGAGAAATTTGCCATTTTGAGACTACCAAGCCAGGAGAAAATTCAAACCCACTCACCTGCCACTTCATACCTAGTGTATAAATATTTTAGGAAAAGGACTTGTGATCCAAGTATTAAGACAAGGGAAAGTTTCCTCCCAACATCCTACCCACCTGTCTTCAAGAAAGAACACAACTGCCTAGACTTCCCACCACCCCCACCCTTGGCCAGAGACAGAACACAGAACATCTGGGGTCAGTGAGAAGTTTAACTAACAGAGCTTCTCAAATCTTTCCTTCAAGTGCTCCTGACAGCAGCAAAGCCGAATGAACTTCCCTGGGGAACTGGAGTGAGAGACTATGGCAATCCTACAAGCAAGACATTTCTTTTAAAGGAATTGAATGTTTTATAAAAATCATGCTTTATTCAAGAAATTAATGCAAATTTTGCTTTCTAAGTCATTTTACAGCCATGCGAGTTTTAGTATGGTGAGGGTGTTTTAAATTGCAAACTGTAGCTCTAGGATTGTTTATCCTATAGCTTTTCCTGGCACACTTCTTCACCCCCCTGAGGATAACCTACATGTCAGGCTGAGATGGGAGGTTAATGGATTTTAAAGTCTGCTGCCTTAACGTGACAACTCATAGTGTTGAAACTCAGTTTTGACAGCTTATGCAAGTAGAGGGAAAAAAGCAAGCATTTTGCTAAAAATAGTAATTGGAGAGGAAGTGCCTGAGCAAGATAAATCAAAGATTTTTCTTCTGTGATCATTACATCTTTCACAAATCCTGAGCAGACATCACACCTTGTCTGTATCCCACATTGCACCATGTATCTAAGTTTCATCTCTCAACTGTGATTGATAAACTCATTAAAGGAAGGTACCGTGTCTCATAATTTTTTGAAGACCTTACCGTTAGCGAAACGATTTTCCATGAATATATGGTTAATACAATTAAGGAATTATTTATGACAAGGATGTTTTCTGTTTACTCCACTACTCAGGAGTTATGCAAGCAATACACAAGGGCCTTTGAATCGAAGCACTACTCTACTCCCAGGGAGCATATGAATCTTCAAGCTTGCAAAAATCACTCTGATCTTTTGCAAAAGTGTCTGGGAAGAAGGTGAATTTAGGAAGCAAGAGGGGAAAGGTGTAAAGTCAAATCTCTGCAAACAAATGACTTTGTTTCAGATAAGAAAAAAAATGACCAGAACATGCTACATTCCACTTTTTAAGTTCAACATTTGCCTGCAAAAACAAAAACAGATTTTAATCATTCTCTATTGTGGTTTAATGCCCAGGTCCCTTTTTACGTAAGAAAAAGTTAACTTTCAGTTCAAGAATACCCTCCTGCTTCCTGGATGGGGTTGTGAGAGTTTAATTTTCCTAACCCTCCTGGGGAACAAGCCACATGCCTCTGAACAATGTTTCCTGGCATTTTTAGTGGTCAAAGAAGATTGATGACACCTGAAGTAGATTCAGTACTCAAAAATTCCAGTCTATTTGTCTAAATTCAAACCAAATAAATTTCAATCTACTCTCAGCACAAATATTTCTTGGGAATACAAGAGGGCTCAGTGTTGGTCTCTGCTACTGGCAAATAGGGTACTCAGCAGTGGCTGTAGCCAGGTCAGCCTTGATGAGTGGAAGTCCATGTTGCTGAGCCCATGCATAACCTTCATCCCTGCCACCATGGGCCCAGTAGGCCATGACAGGTGTGGCTGGGGAAAGTGGCTGAGTGGTGTCCACAGAATCCACAAAAATCCTATCTGCTTGATTTTTAAAATCCTCCTCTGCTGAGGTCACCCATTGGTGAGCACTCATATGAGATAAAAATATCTTCACAATTTTTGACAACTCAGAGAGGTCCATCCACATACCTCTTCTCCAAATTTCTTTGCCACCAATTTTCAGTCATGCTTTTTTCAAGTCC